ATAATATTGAAAATAAAATAGGGACCCTGAGCTGGATACGGACGCGTTGATCACGAATACTGCTTGACTAAGACGGCAGCATTACATGACAGCTATCTGTTTCCTCACAGACCGCTCTACTTAAGCGAGAACACGAAATGACGCCAGTATCACTGACAGTATATTTTACGCAATAACGTATGATTCAAAATATCACTGAGGATATGTCAGTTAGTCTATAATCACCACCAATAAAATGGTGGGCTGGCTGCAAGATTTCATCGTGAGCTGAAATAGGTTAGAGAACCATTGGAAAACGAGCAAGGAGTACTGGACAGCTGTTTCGTCCTAGTCTGTGACTGGAGGGTTCCAGTGGTACGTCGTTGCCAGTAGGGTACAGCAGGTTGTCTGTAAGGAAAAATATTCGCCGAAGACATTGGTTAGCGGTCACGCTATATCGTAAATTATCAGAAGTTGGAATTCATGGGCCATTGGATCGGGTTCCAGAGGCTTAATGGCCTACAAGCTTGCTAGCCTTGTAACCAGAAGGTCCTGAGTTCAAGCAGTGGCGGTGAGTGTGTACTGATGAAGAGTCCTGAACTAGAACGAAACAGCTGTTCAGTACTCCCTACTGCTTTCCCAATGGTTCTCCAACCGATGTCAACTCATGATGAAATCCTGTAACCAATCAACCAAATCCCAACAAACCAATATTTGAAAATGGTGAGCGTTATTTTACTCAGGCCAATTGTGATTGGTTTATTCCCAGACTGGATATCGATCACTTACGTAGGCCGCTCCTGATTGGTTTATTTTTAACCTCGATATCGATCATTATATCAGCCATATAAGATGATTCATTGTTTTACTGTCTAAATATCAGATATCAGGTTTGAGAAACCAAGACAGACTTTCATTACACTGAAATCACTGTGGAAGCCTGTTGCACCGAGTTCAAAGAACAAGATTTCAATTTTCGACACTAACGTCAAGTCAGTATTTCCACAAATTGCGTACGTTACTAAAAGCACTTCTAACAGGTAATTGTAAACTTCCATCAACAACTGCCTTCAATCTGTCTATTCTAAATATCAGATGGCTTGAGAGCGAATAAGCATTTGAGGAACTGCATCAGTGCATCAAACTAGCCGGGTAAATATTACCCAACAATAAAGAAGGGAAGATAGATTGAATATAAGCTGATAAAATCTTCAAACATGACATGACTCATCAGGCTATTGAGCTAAGCTACAAGTGAGACATCTGAGGGTGAACTGAAGACGATCATTTACTAAAGGAATGGAAACTTGTCAGCTGTTTTTAAACCAGCTGAAAGTGCTTAGGCAAACGACCTAATTCCTTCGTACAAGTATGAGCCAGTAAGATGTAAAAGTACCCCAGTCGATTCCTGCTACCAGTTTAAGAACAACAAATATCCTACCAGCAGCCTACTTACCCAGAAACACCAAGAGGCATTTCGTGACCTCAAGAAGAACGAAAATCTGATAATAACTAGACCTGATAACGGATCTGGTACAGTTATCACGAATAAGAGTGATTATGTAGACAAAATGAATCTCATTCTAAGTGACCATATGAAATTTCAAAAGCTGAGCAGCTGTAAAGACACAATCAAGGCAACCGAACGCCAAATGGCTAAGACACTAAAATCATTAGTTGAGAGTAATCTGATTCCTAAGTGTACGCTGGACGAATTGAAACCATCGGGTACTCACACAACAAGACTAAATGGTTCACCGAAAGTTCACAAGCCCGGAGTACCACTACGTCCCATCCTAGTTATGTGTCAATCTCCCTGTCATTCTACACCAAAGTGATTGGTAAAGGCATTGGAACGTTTATTTCATGAACCAGTGAAATTCAATGGAAAAGATGTATTTAGCTTTGTAGAAACTACCAAAAGCCTGAATATAAAGGGAAAGAAATTGATGTCACTGGATGTAGCATCATTATTCACCAAAGTCCCATTGCTCGAAACAGTCAACCAATTATATAACCAACTAACAGAACGAAATAAAGATGTAGGAATCACACCAAAAAGACGAGGAATTACTGTTGAAATACGCGGCGAATGTCCAGTTTACGTTCAACAATGATTTTTATAGACAAGTTGAGGGTGTTGCCATGGGATCACCTCTGGGCCCATGCTAGAGGATATTTTCCTGGCAATGCTTGAAAGTGCACCACTCAGAGACACGATTAAGAGGCTTGACTAATATCGCCGATACGTGGATGATAACTTCATGGCTCGTGATAGGAATCTTTGTAAACAAGAGCTTCTAAAAACTTTTAATGGCATGCACCCAGCTATTCACTTTACATTTGAGAAAGAAGAAAATTACAGTATATCTTTCCTAGACGTCCTTCTCACCATGAAGACACACGGATTTTCCCACAGAAAATCTTTTTGGAAAGAAGACTTGGACGGGTCAGTACACCCATTTTCATAGCTTCATACCGATTCAATACAAAAGAAACTTAGTTAAGTGTCTTAGCTATAAAATAAAACGCATATGCTCAGAGGAATGCATTAAGGAAGAGATGTGTAAACTAAAGCTTACACTGCAAGAAAAGGGCTATCCACAGAACTTCCTAAAAAGGTATATGTCGATACCTAGAGATAGGGTAACGATGGATACCACAGATAAGAAACCTCTTTATCTTAAGTTGAGTTAAAAAGGGGAAATTGCGGCTGACATTCTAAAATGTCAACTTAATTGAGCAGTAGAGAGAACATTTCCTGCAGCTAAACTGGTACTCAACTTCTCAACTAAACCAGTAGTCACACAGCAAGTAAAGGATAAATTACCAAAGATGGCCTCATCAATGTGTATCTATGAATTCAACTGCTCATGTGGAGCTAGTTACACTGGTCGTATTCAGAAGGCTTTATCCGTGTACATAAGTGAACATGTACTTGTATGGTTGAGTAAAGAGGTAACCCAATGGGTAAATAGTGCAGTCTTAGACCACTTGGTAGATACTGGACGCTCGATAAAACCTTACATATCGTACTCAGCTATTTACAGCCTTCCCGCTAATCTATCTACAGCAGCTCGACTGCGTCTTCTATGAGTAGCTGAAGCGGTAGCAATCAATACCAGAAGACCTGGTCTTTGTATACAGAAGAAGTGTGTCCAATCTCTATGTGTACTTTGGCCTTCAATAAGGCCAACAAATCCTCCATAAACATTAACGCCTTAAATTCCTATCACAATTATTTTCTTTCCTTCTTCTTTTCCTTTTTTTCATTGATAAGCATTCATTTCTGTCCTTCTACGATTTCATGAACTTTCTTATGAATGCTGTTACCATATATTTAAGTAATACTTTTCTAACTTGTTATCATATTTACGAAATCCTGTTCATTCCACTTCACTCAATTCATTATTATTATTATTACTTCTAAGTATTGGTTTTGGAGTGATTTTGTTTGATTGATTGGAGGATTTCATCATGAGCTGAAATCAGTTAGATAACCATTGGAAAACCAACTGGAAGTACTGGACAGCTATTTCGTAATCCCAGTTTGGGAACCATAGGCAGTACGCGCCCACCCCTACGTTTCCAACCCAACACCTTCCGGTTACACGTCAAGCTCGTATATCATTCAGCCACTGGGACCGGATTCAATAGTCATCCCAAGAATTCTAACTTCTACAAATTCGTGATTTAGCGCGACAGCCAACTAATGTCATCGGTGAGAAATCCATCCCCACACTTCACTGGATGAACCTCAGTGGTCACAACTTCTCACTAGAACTCCAGGAAACTCCATCCTGTAGCAAGTCATTAGTTCTCATTGTTCTCATTGACCATGCATTTTCAAAAACTAACTGACTATTATTCCATTCATCACATAAAAAACTTGGAGAATCTGGACTTCACCGATGATATATGTCTGATTTCCCACAAACTGGAAGATATGCAAGCGAAAAGCAACAAGTTGGCAGAAGAAGCATCAAAGATAGGACTTCAGGTGAACATAGAGAAGACAGAGGTGATGAAGACTCCTGGTCAGCAGCAGCAGCAACAACAACAACAACAGACAACAATCAGCATAAATGGGAGGAACCTGAAAGAAACAACCTCTTTTACCTACCTGGGAAGCATCGTTTCAACTACAGGCGCACGGAACTGACGAGGATATCAAAGCAAGAATCGGAAAAAGCAAGACAAGCTTTCACTACTCTCAAGTCTGTGTGGAGGTCAACAACACTCAGCATCAAAAATAAGATCCGGATTTTCAACTCCAATGTGAAGTCAGTCAGTGCTAATATACGGATCAGAGACTTGGCGCGTCATGAAGAGAACCTCAAACAAACTACAGACCTTCATTAACAGTTGTCTTCGCTCAATACTATTCAAGATCAGATGGCCAGAAAAGATTAGCAACAGAGATCTTTGGGAGCGAACCAACCAGTAACCGATTGTGAAACAAATAAGCAGAAAGAAATGGAGATGGATTGGCTGGCCATACTCTGAGGAAACCATCAAGTGACATCACTAGACAAGCCATTGCTCGAGTGGAACCCGAAAGGGAAGCGGCGAGTTGGTCGTCAGTGCAAGGGTGACTTGGAGGAGGTCATGTTAAGAGGAGATGAAAGCATGTGGGCAGACATGGAGCCAGGTGAAAACGTTAGTGGAGAACCGAACGCAATGGAGACGCACGGCCGAAGCCCTGTGTTCCTCTAAGAATAAAAGGAAACAATAATAATTATTATTATTCCATCCCATCTTACTTATACTTGTTCCACAATCCCCTTTTCTGATATGATTCTAATTCGCCTTTACTGGCTATTGTATGCTTAAAGTAATGAATATATAATTGTAGAGCCTGAAGAAGAATTCACTGAAACCACAATTGTTCGCTCTAACCACCTTTTCTTTTTGTAGTCTGAATAAATTATGGAATGAATGAATATTCAAGGTGTAAAAAATGAATCAATAAACAAGTAAATATTCTCTCTATTCACTAAATAATCAACTATTTTAAAATTTTTTATTGAATTTTATTGAATTAATCTATTTTAATTATATTATTTTATTACCAACACTAAGAGTAAGAATAATAATAATAGTAATAACAATAATACAACATAAAAATCACTCAATTATAATAATGATAATAATAATAAACAATTACTGACCAACATATAATAAGTAAATAAATATACTTCTTTAATGAATTAAGGTTTAATAAAATTTTTTAAAATAAAAAATGACTCCAGTTGAAATGGATTCGAACTTGTGGCATCTTCCCAATGGATTTCATTAAATGAAGTAAATGAAGAAGACAAGAAAGAGTAAAGACGATAGATAATAATAATAATAATACTTCTATGTTTGTTTAATTTTTAAAATGGACGCTACTGCAGAACAAAACAAAAACAAACAAACAATATGTATAGATGTAGATGTGTTCAATGTTATCAATGATTCAAGCGAAATTGAACCGTTGAACAACTTTCTTTCGTTCATTCGTTGTCTGTCTCCTTTTGGGTCACAAATACATGCACTATATTGTTGAAATAATTGAACATATTCAGCGTAGAAAAAGGATTTTTGATTTCTGTCATGAAAGGAGAAATATATGTATATATATGTTTCAAATGATAAGTCTTTCAACTACTTACTACCTCATAAACATTTGTGATTATCAAAATTGACAAGGGGAAAGGGAAGTGTGGTGAAATATGTGAGCACTATTCAAATGGAGGATAGTTTACAAAAGGATAAGAATAAGCTGCTTGCATATCTTACTGTCTTACTGGCTTCGTTTACTCCTTCTTGTATTCGTTAATTTGAAATATATAATATAAGATATTGAATTATGTAATAATTAAACGACAAAAAAATGAAAGGATTTCTCTAATTATTCTTAACGCTTCTTCTGCCCTGTTTCTTATTTTAATTGTGAAACGTTCACACAAGTTCTGTTTGTTTGTGTATTGTGTAATTTGTGAATCAAGCAGTTGATACTGCGATTGTATACGTGCAAATCTGTCCGCCTGGAAGGAAGAAGGATGGATGTGTATTGAAAAGGAAAAATATGAAGACAAAGTCTGCGTGTATGTGAAAAGAAACAAAACCCGTTGAATTGATAAATATAAACTATTTTCTAGTTTCATCGATTGGATGAACTGTTGTCGATGGTTGACTTTTGTAGGTTGGTGATTCTGGATCAGCCAGCGGTGGTTGTGTTGTCATTACAGGACCCAATGGAGAGGCATTCTCTTGTAAACGCATTGCTGCAGCTAAACTCATACGTTTCTTACTGTGACGTGTACCAGTTGAGTTGCGTTTTTCACGATCTGTTCCACCAGCGGAGAATTCACGTGTATAGCCTTCAACAACTTCATCGATTTCTTTTTCTATCTCTGCATCATTCTGGGCTAATTCTTTTTGACATAAGAAATTCACTATACCAGCTCCAACTGCATCACCCATTACATTGATTGATGTGCGAATTCGATCGCTAGGGAATAGAAATGGAATAATCAATAGTTGATTAATAAGTATAATAATAATAACTGCATCTTAATATTATCTTAATCTTAATCAAAAATGGCGGTCAGTTTAAATGATTTATTAGTGTTGATTAGATAGCGTCCCTTGAATTCATTAAAAACATTCCTGATTTAAGCGAAAATATTTCTAGTGCTGGTTTTCAGGGACTTGACTGGTTCTCTAAACAATTTTAGCTCATGATGAAATCCTGGAACCAGTCAAATCCCAGCAAATCAACAGTTGAATATTGATCTGATGCTCACTAGCAACTGGGCCTATTCAAATAGGCGGTTATCTGAGTCCTGTTGGGAAGTCATGATTGGTGGGATACAGGAGGTCGGGTTTGAAGACAGATACTCGCCAGTAATGACATTGGCTAGTGGTTACGCCATATCGTAAATTACCAGAAGCTGGAATTCTTGGGCCATTGGATTGGGTCCCAGTGGCTTAACGGTCTGCGAGCCCTTCTTGTAACAGGGACGTCCTGGGTTCAAAGGCTCGGCGGTGGGTGCGTATCGTTGAAGAGCCCCAGACTAGGACGAAACACTTGTCCAGTATTCCCTACTAGTTTTCCAGTGGTTCTCTAACCAATGTCACCTCATCATGGATATATTTCTTTTCTCTATCTGTATGTGTATCGCCTTCACTTGAGATCAATTCAAGGGATGAATTCTAATGCCGATTACCGGACATGCAGATGAAATTAACTACCTTGGATTCCACTGTACATTTTACACTATCACATCAACTATGGTTACTGTATTTTCAAAATAACCTAGAATTTGTCAGTGTATTGTACTCAGGTGGGTGTAAAAGCTGGTGTACAGGTATCCAAGGTAGTTCCATCAAAATCTTGTAATAGTTACAGCAGAGTAAAATTAACTAACACTAAAGATTTAATTCCCTGTAGTTTAATGAGGACTAGATAGGGCTGGATAAAGGCAAATCCAAGAAAATCTGTTAGACTTTAAGCACAGATAACAGTGAATTGGTTATGTCATCAGCTTAGACAGGTTATGGAACATTTACGCACATCCTACACTTACAGTTCTTCTTGACCTGATGGCTATACTTAACCCCGATGTACGAAGGGGTGATGTAGAAATAACTGACTATAAAAGAAGCATCAGGAAAGTACATTGCACTTCTCAACAAATTCAGTTCATCTAAATGTGTTAGATTATATCGACAGCCTCTTTTGGAAGCCAAAACCGTCGATGATGCTTGCTGTCAACGATTTTGTCTAATTCTACTATAAATTTACCAGCAGATGTGACCCTGCGTAACTTCGACTTCTTCAAAATTGACTAGTTATCAGTTTAGAGATGTAATCAAACAAGAACATGGCACTAGTCGATGAAGTCTTTAACTGTTTATTCCAGCCATATGCGTCTAGGCTTAAACTGTCTAGATGGCGTGTTCGTAATGGTTGCAATGTGTGTTCGTTAAATGGCTGGAAATCACCACATTAATTAATTAATTAATCCACTGGTGGTATATTTCGCCCGACTTTGTCAGTGTAAAACGCAATCATCAATCGTAAGAATACGTAAGTCACCGTTTCCTGTTTAGGAAATATGATCGGTTCAGAATCTCCATAACCCAAGATCCTTTAGACGCAGAATAACCATTCTAAGCTTCACCGATGACCAAAGAATGCATTTTTATCAGGTTCACGATGAAATTGGCTTAAATTTAACCATGTGTTTGAATTGTACAAGAAAATCTAGCGCTCTTTGTTAACTTCTGTAAGTCAGCTAACATTCTCAAGAGTTAGTTTTTAGAGGTTTGGTTTGTTCGCCGAATTTGACCATGGATTGATATCAGTTAGAGAACGATTGAAAAACAACAGGGAATACTGTACAGCTGTTTCTTCCTTGTTTGGGACTTTCCATCAGTACACAACCGCAGCCAGAGTTCGAACTCAGGGTCTTCCGATCACAAGGCAAGCTCGTAGGTAATTCAGCCACTGGAACCCGACTCAGTAGCGTTTGAACGGTCTCGTAGATTGTTTTGGAACCGCAAGGTGTTACCGGTGGTACTATTGAAGAGTCCCAAAACTAGGACGAAACCGTCGTCCAGTACTCCTTGCTGGTTTCCAATGGCTCTCCAACTGATATCGACCCATAGTTGAGCTTTAACTTAAAATTTCTAGTCATTTCCTGACTACTTTTTTACGTAGTCCACTTTAAGGTCGGCAGAAACCTCTTCAAACCTAAGAATGTATTTTCAGTCAACTGTTGATTCGCAGTCACTATCGACACCAATTTTGTGAGCAAATAGCTCCACCAGATCAAATATATGCAGAGTTATTTATCAGTAACAATAATAACTATAATGGTAGGTTGGAAGTTAGCCAATTCCGAAAATCCCAAGTCACTTCTATTCATATATGTTGTCACTCAGCTTATATGTTTGTTATTCAGTAAATGTTCTGCAACTGATGAAACTTCCAATGACCGAAACTTGTTCATGAACAAAAATCGACCTATGCATATATATACATATATTATGACAAGAACTTTTATTTGTATTAGCAATGAAACTTACAGTAACCAATCAACAGCAAGTATCAATGATATATCTTTTGTAGGCAATCCAACCGATGTCAAAACTAACATCATAGTGACTAAACCAGCACTCGGAACACTTGCTGCGCCTATTGCTGCTAATGTTGCTGTCAAACTATAAAGAGAAGAAAATAGGAACATTAAAAAATCAAACTGTAATTTATTTCTAAAGTAATACAGAACCTTTATGTTGTTGAATATTTGACATAAGTTTTAAAAAATGACAATTATTGATCAAAAATATACCCATTGAGTGAATCATGAAGAGAATGAAAGACATTTCAGAGAGGAAAAATTTTCTTTATTGACGAAATCATCTTCACAGGCTGTACAGTCGTATTTATATGCTATGAAAATTTGTGCTTTATAAACGTTATGTAGATGTACACTCATCCCCGCCTATACATCAAACTGATTAACTAAAATAATCACTTGACTGGTAAAAAATTTTGATGTAAAAAACTATATATATTAGTGTAGAGCCGATGATGAGGAACTTAAGGGAAAAAAAAATATATTTATTCGCTCAATCTGTTGTGTTTTCTGAATGCGTAAATGGGAATTTCGAAAATACTAAAAATATTCAGACTGGCAGTTAAGCTACTTATTACGATTCAAGTAGCTTAAATTTCACGTGAAAATTATCAAAATATGTGATTGTTTCTTTACTGATATTGTGGTGAGAGCTGTCTACTGGCCAAATTGGTAGACAGTAATTGACATGAATGTTTACGTTCTCAAGATTTGTCGTGAGAAAATGTGAACAAAGATTGATTCAAAACCGACCACAGCAGACTTTGAGTAGGCGGATACAGTTAACATATAGATGATCTGACATTCAAGAAACAGTCACAAATAGATAAAAGATTAACTTTACGTGAGAAACAACCAATCGGAAGACTGTGTTTTTTTACTTAAATATCCATAGTAATGTACATGTAAATATATAAATATGCGTTGATTTCCTTAATAAATGATCTGTTGCCTGACTCTTGCCTTCTGTCGTTACAATATAACTGTAGATCGTCAGTTTGTATTCTGTAATTATGCACTACAGATTCCAGAGTGATCGGTTTTCTATTTTATAAAATCTGATTCCTATGTGCAAACATAATGTATGGTCATCGGACAAAGTCTGGATAAAAGTATGAAACGTATTTGGGGAGTATCCTTAAAGTTTGTGGTAATTAGGAAGTTTAAGCCACCTTTATGCGTTCACAAATAATTCGTCATCACATTAAACCTTCCTTGGTAAATTTTGTTTTGATACCATAGCAGATGTACTATTTATTACCTCTGCTATTTGGTTTAGTGGTCTTCATTGTCATTTTGACCTTGAATATGCCCTTTTAACTTGACCTAGTCTATTTTCCCACCTCTAAACTCTTTATTAATTTCATATATATATTCCTATGACAAGTCTGTGTGTGATCAGATTGTTCGAAATGTGTTACGCAAATACATTACAAGATTCAGACAAATTATGCCTTCTTATTGCTTTATCTAAAAACTGTTTTCGTTTATCAAGTGATGACTGACAGAGAGGAGTCCAGGATGTAGCGTTACGTCATGTTTCGAATCCGTTCGGCGAATTTGTTTGTACCCAACGAGTAATGGTCTCCCCACTGTCAGGATCAAAATAATATGAGCTAAGTGTCTGTTTATTATGTAAATACATCTAGCTAATGTGTTCAACGTAGGGCAAAACACGCCTTCTGAATCCCGCTACTGAGAAACATGCATCAAATGAATTCAGGGGAAAGTAAAAGCTATCATCACAGTTTGTGTCATTAGAGCTCACATATTCATACTGACTAAGCGTTTCAATTCAGTGAAGAGGGGGGGGGAGTGAAAAATTCGCTAGTTTCAGCAATCGATTTGAAAACTTAAAATGATAAAAGTCTAAGGAAACTAGCCATAAGTGCCTCAAATTTGGTTTATCCATAATTATCAAGCCTAAAGAGACCCACTGAAATCGTTGATGATATCAGGAACATGAATTATAGTTAGATGATGAACTAACCGATAGTGAAAATCATTAACACGGCAAAATTCTGTTCTTAATCCGACAGGAAATTTGTTTAAATTATTTTGTATTTCCCCTAATCATTAATTATAGTGGACAAAAATGTTCGGGCTATGTTAACATGTCAGCTGCAGTTACAAAAGCTTCTATAAAGTCTGAAGAATAACACGATACTGTTTGATGGGTAACACTGTAATAGAGTGACTCGTTCGGCCATCTGAGCTTGGGGTCGATATTTTACATGAGACCAAAAGAATCAGTCAAGGAGAAGTACAAAAAATAGATTACAAAAATCAAAAATTGAGAGGTAGTTGTGGCTGTCCAGTTGGCCTTTTGGATAACGCTCTGATGTTTGAAACGATGGGTGGTTGGTTTAAGTCTCACTTAGAACACCCCCACTAACTGGTATTTTCAGGTAATCAAGCTGACGCAAAGAACAACTGAGATTCCACTGGTGGTCACCACCCACCAAATAATGATAAAAAATTTCTTCACAGAAATCAGTTTATTCTATAGGAATGAGGAGCCAGTAAACCTTTTATTTATGTATCCCTTTTGTTCTATAGCTCAAGACTGAAATGAATAAGCTAAATTTCTTATTTTGTTGGGCGATGAAAAGAAGTGGAGTTCAGGATGAGAATTTCGTCCTATTCGGGACTCATCAACTGGATATACATGGGGTGACAGTATTCTTACTGAAATGTGAACCCAGCAACCATCGTCTAAAATTTCAAAGTGACATTTTCAAGGGCAGATGAAAAATCTTAGATGGGATTCAATACATATCCTGAAATCTGGTGCTGAAGAAGTTTGCTATCAGGCATGATAACTGGTCTCCTGCGGATATGTGAAGTGATTACTGAGGAGCGTAACCAGTCAATGTGTACATAATCCACATACCTTATGTTCTGGATTGTTAATTCATAAATATCACATAAAATAAAATAAATCAAGAAACTATCCTCGTATTTAAGGTTTTTAACGATCTAGGTTTTTTAAATATATCAACTCATTAGCAGATTGAATTCCAGTTACTGAACTTTACACAAAACAGATTTATCTTTTTGAAATGCCATCTATAAAGTTAATTATATATTGAAAGTTTATCACTACTCTGAATTAAATTTTTAGGGAATTGCGTGACAGACTTATCAATTATGTATTCTACCATCATTCAGGTTTATATCGCACTTAAAAAAATGCTATGAAACTAAGAAGATTCATATATTTCACCAATGTTTACTGATTATCCGTGGTTGAAGACATATTAAAGATGACAGTTTGAAGATAATGTCAAAGTATTTCGTCAATGTGATCGTGTTTACTAGTTTGTTAACCAAAAAATTCCGAAGTTCACCAACTGACTTCACTTTAAATTATGCTATAATTTTACACTACTTACAATATTAAATAGTAGTTCAAAAATGTAAGCAAAATTTATCCTCAATGGTGCAACTTTAATTCGGATTATCATAATTATAATACTTTGATAAAGCTATTAGCATTAAATAGCGAAATGTCAAAAAAAACAATATCGTTTCGTTTTTCATTCATTGGGAAATACAAAAACCTTTATTATTTGAATTCAGATTGTTAGACAGATGGATTAATTTCACCTAGTTGCTGAAATATCCCTAATTTTAATGCTTCTCTTTGTAGTTGTGTGGTACATTGATAATGTGTTGTACATTGTGACTTTGTCTAAGTGAACCAAGGTGATTCTGACCCTAGACCGTGTGTGGGAATTGTTGGTGTGTGACTGTCACAGAAAGAGTTTTGATCCCATATTAGTTTGTTTATTAGGTATATCACACAGTAAGAAACAGTATTATTTACTGGATGACGTTTCGAACAAAATTTGTTGTTCATAATCATATCAATTGTGATCACACGACTTTGACACTTGAGTTTTATAGCTTTCTTTGTTTTCTCCAATTTGTCGTAGGGGGAGTAGAATTTTCCATATATCGGGGACAGGTGATGAATCATTCCTATTACATGTATTTGCAGTTGATTCAATAAACAAAGCTTCTGTTATCAATCTCTCCCTATACCCTGTGACATTAGATTTTAAAACTGTCATCCTATCCCATCCTATTGTATGGTTGTGTGTGACTGCATGTAGTGCTATAGCTGAACTATTCTCTAGATTTCTTATTTTATTCGGGTCAACCAATCTAGATTTTGCTAAGTTTTTATGTTCAGCTAGTCTGACTGCCCCTGTTCTACTAGTTTGACCTATGTATTTGATAGAGCACAAAAATTAAGTAGTACCAAAGAAAATCTAAAACAAGAACTGATACATATAAAAGAAGCCTTGAAACTTAATTACTCGGATAAATTAGTCAGGAAATATGTAGGGAAATATAAAAATAAAATAAATAATGATAATAGCAATAGTGATAATAACAATAATAATGATAATAGTGATAATAATAATAATAATAGCGACACCAACAATAGGGAATCTAAATCATCAGTAGTAATTCCATACAAGGAAGGAACCTCAGAAGCTTTACGCAGAATTCTCAACAAGGCAGGAATAAAAACGGCATTCAAACCCACAAACTCAATTAGAAACAAGCTTTGTCGGCTAAAGGATCCTATAGAGCCTTTAAAACAAAAAAATTTAGTTTATCTAATACCCTGCAATGATTGTCAGGTCAAATACATAGGTCAAACTAGTAGAACAGGGGCAGTCAGACTAGCTGAACATAAAAACTTGGCAAAATCTAGATTGGTTGACTCGAATAAAATAAGAAATCTAGAGAATAGTTCAGCTATAGCACTACATGCAGTCACACACAACCATACAATAGGATGGGATAGGATGACAGTTTTAAAATCTAATGTCACAGGGTATAGGGAGAGATTGATAACAGAAGCTTTGTTTATTGAATCAACTGCAAATACATGTAATAGGAATGATTCATCACCTGTCCCCGATATATGGAAAATTCTACTCCCCCTACGACAAATTGGAGAAAACAAAGAAAGCTATAAAACTCAAGTGTCAAAGTCGTGTGATCACAATTGATATGATTATGAACAATAAATTTTGTTCGAAACGTCATCCAGTAAATAATACT